GCAAAAAAAAACCTGGTATGCAGGTTGAAGAAGAGCTTGTATGGTTTAAAACAAACTCCTAGACAGTGGTACAAGAAGTTCAATAGCTTAATGAGTAGTAGTGGTTTTACCAGATGCCAAACAGATCATTGTTGCTATATCAAGAGGTTCGACAACAACTTCATTATTTTATTATTGTACATTGATGACATGCTCGTTGCAAGCTTAGACATGCAAGAGATTATATACTTTAAGCAAAAATTGTCGAAGCAAAACTTGTCGAAGCAGTTTGCTATGAAGGATATGGGCGCTACAAAGCAGATTCTTGGGATGAGGATTAAGAGAAACACAAAGTCGAGGACTTTGATGTTATCACAGGCTGAGTATATCAATAAAGTACTCTCCAGGTTCAACATGCAAGATACTAAACCAGTAAGTACACCTTTAGGTGTTCTTTTAGACTCTCCAAAGAACAGTCACCAAAGACGGAGGAAGAACGTGCACACATGGAGAATGTGTCGTATGCCTCAGTAATTGGAAGTCTGATGTATGCCATGGTTTATACTAGACCAGATATTGCTCATGCAGTGGGAGCTGTTAGCAGGTACATGAATAATCCGGGCAAGGTACACTGGGAAGCAGTCAAATGGATCCTCAGATATTTGCGGGGTACTACAAACAAAGCACTTTGTTTCAAAGGTGGAGATACGATACTGACAGGCTATGTAGATGTTGACTTAGCTGGAAATGTTGATATCAGAAGAAGCACTACAGGGTATGTCTATACTCTAGGAGGAACCGTAGTGAGTTGAGTTTCTCAACTACAGAAGATAGTTGTTATCTCCACAACTGAATCAGAATACGTCGCTGTTACGGAAGCCAGCAAGGAGATGGTTTTGGCTCCAAAGTTTCTTGGAAGAATTAGGCAAGAAACAAGAAAACAATGTCTTGTATTGTGATAGTCAAAGTGTTATCTATCTAGTGAAGAATCCATCTTTTCATTCAAGGACGAAGCACATACAATTGCGATATCATTTTGTCTGGTCTATTCTGGAAGATGGGATTTTGAAACTTGAAAAGATTAGTGGAGCTCAAAATCCGGCAGACATGTTAACAAAGATGGTAAGTACGGACAAACTGAAGATGTGTTCAGCTTCAGTTGGCATGATAGAGTAACAAGACCATAAATATTACTGCATCAATCGAGGTATGAAGACAGATTAAAATTAGTCTTCAAGTGGGAGATTGTAAAGTTAAAAATTGTGAGAGGGGGAGGCACCACCAAACGCACAATTCAAAGGTGGGCTGCCTAATTGTGTTGAAAATGAAAATGGGTAAATTACACTTTAGTCATTGTACTTTAGGGTATTTTCAAAGATTAGTCCCTAAGCTTCAACTATAAATACCCTAGCTCATTTAGCTTCAAAATCATCCCAAAAATCATTTCTTTCTCCCAATACTAAAGAGTTTAGAGAGTTCTCTTGTGAGTAGTAAGTGTTTGTAAACACCTGTAAATTTTCTCTCTTTAGTAAAATATCTGCAGCAGTCTGGAGACGTAGGCAAAATTGGCAGAACTCCGTTATCAATTTCGTGTATTATTTTTCCGCTTTTATTTCGTATTCTCACTAATCTAGTTATAGGGAAATTACTCGGTTTTTCCCAACATGTAGTTGGGATAGCCAATTTGAAACTGGTTCAGAAGAACTCAAAGCTAAAGAGAGATTACTTTTGTTTTTGAAAAAGTTGTTGTATCCTCTGGTGCCAACTCTCTTCTGGTTCCCCTCACTCTCATTCAAGAAGCTGCTTCAAAATGAGCTGGTAAAGATATTTCTATCTTTGAATCCCCGCCGTCTCGGGTGAAGAAAAAGAAGCGGTTGTCAAAGGCGGAGGAGGAAGAAGAAGAAAATATGTCGGGTGACATTTTTAATCGGTTAACGGTTAAACTTAACGGTCTGTTACGCTTGGATCCATTTTGAGTCACGGAATGAAATGTTAGGCACTAAACAAGAGAAACTGGTATAGGTTGAACATCTTTTGTATGTTTAAGCCAAAAATTTAATATCAAGTGCAATAATTGGTAATTCTACACGAGTCAAATACCCTCATTGAACAGTTGCAGCCACTTATTAATGGTAAAAATGAAAATTAACCGTAAGAAAAATTAAGTAATGATTTTATTAACCTTGTAATATAAACATGTTTGGATATTTTAGTAATGAATATAATTATATCGTTTGATTATAATAATAAATAAATAGATAATTATTCAAAATTAAAATTTCATATCTATTAAAATTAAAATAATATTATTTTATTATATTGTATATTTGATTAAAAGTTCATATCTATTATAATTTTGATTTTTTTACATGACTTTTGTATTATTTTGACATAATAAAGTATTTTATTTTTTAAAATAAATATGATAATTCTAATGTTTATTTTTAATAAAAACGTGATGATAATAACAAAAGGGTAAAGTACACAAATGATCCTCAACTATTGATTAATTAAGTCATTCGACTATTCAAAGTTACAAAATAATTATCTAAATATAGAAATTGTTTTGTTGAATCCATCAACTATTAAAAGTTTCAAAATGGTCACTCAACTATTCATTATATTCCAAACTCATCATTTTCCTTCGAAAAATTGGTGGGTTTTTTTTTTAAGTTAGACGTTAACATGATGATTGAGATACAATAGTCGTTTGAGATTCGAAGATCATATTTAATCATATCACAATCAACATGTTAACATTTATATCAGAATATCGTCCATTTTTAACGGAAAAGAATAAGTTTAAAACATAATGAATAGTCGAGTGATTATTTTATAATTTTTAATAGTTGAGAGACTCAACAAAGTAACACTTTATAATCGAAAGACTATTTTATAAGTTTTAATAATTAAAAGACTTGATAAAACAATACTTCATAATTAAAGACCATTTGTATACTTTACCTATAACAAAAATACTAGTAAAATTATATCAAGCACACGTCGCGTTAATGCTCGCATGCAACAAAACGTTAAAAAGAGTTTTTTTTTTCTTTTAGAAAATTGAAGGTTGTTGACATGTCGACTTTTTATTGGATGAAGGGCATGGGTTGCCGAAACTTAAAAGTTGGTGCCCACGTGAGTGTCGACGTGTGAGGAATGTTGACTTTGAGGCTCTCTTATGTGGGTCAAGTGAGGTTACATTTTGGTGAGGAACAAAAACAAGTTTTTTTATTAAACTGGTGACTTAGAAGGTAATATTATGTTTAAAGATAATTTTTATTTTTTATATTGAATTCTTACGACATTTATAATGTTTGAACACATTCTTAAGAAATAACAATAATTTCTGATCACAGAGGGTACTTGAATCTTGCAACAAAACAAGTGTTTCAAGTTGATATGATTAAAAATATGGACATATATAAAATATTTTAAATGAATTTACAACATATAATAAATTCATGGTTTAAATACACTGATAATCTTTTTTACTTTTAGTTTATAGTAATCGATTATTAAAAGTATCGGTTTAGTCACTTACATTATTTATTCGTTATATTTTAATTATTGTGTCGTTAAATCTCATTAGTTCGATAACGTAACATGTTAATAAAATAAATAATTTATAACTTAAAATCTTTAAAATTTGAAAACTTTATCTTTTTGAATCTCTAAAAAAAACCTAATTAAAAAAAAAGAAATTCACTTTTCTCTAATTTTAGAGTATGTTTGATAGACTGTAGTTGGTTTTCTAAAAATAATTTACGTAAAATAGATTATTTGAAAACTGTTTTACGTAAAATAAATTACATGAAAAATGTTTTACGTAAAATGAATTATATAAAGCTGTTTTACGTAAAATGAATTACATTTTTTAAAAAACAATTTTCAGAAACTATTTTACGGTGTTTTGATGATATCGTGTAAATCATTTTTCATTCATAGAAAATTATTAAAGTTCGGTTCGATTAATATTTAAAAAAAAATAGGTTCGATTGACGGATAAAGAAATATTTTTTAATTTGATTATTAGTAACTCGATTCGATAGGTGATCGAATTAATCACTTGAACACACTTAATTTTAATTATTAGTATTTTATTAACATAATATTATTTTATTATATTACTATTAAATGTATAAATTAATTTTACCAATTATTAATAATTTAATAATTTTATATTTATAAAAATAATAGATAATATTAATTACATTAATAATTTAGTATATATTACTAAATTAGAAATATAATATCATATATTATTATAATATCATCAAGTAGATATTAATATAATATTAAAATTATACTATATGTATATTAAATATTTTAATAATTAATATTTTAATTAAAATGATATTAAAATATTAAATTAATATTAAAAATAAAATAATATTTTTTTTGAGTGTTTATACTTTGAAGTGAAAAGTTAGGAAAATATTTTACCGAAAATCAGATGATAAAACATTTTACAAAAAGTGTAAAGGAATTAGGAAAATAAATTATATTGAAAAAATCAATTTCAATTATTAAACATTGAAAAATATATTTCAGAAAATATTTTTCTAACACAAAAAAAGAATGAAGAAAATATTTTTCAATTATCAAATAAGTACCAAATTCATATTCTTACTACAAAACCCAACAACTTTATAATATATTAATATCTCAAATCCTTTAAGGTTCTCTCTTGTTTGACTTTCCAGCCATTATTTATCGATTATTAAGTCATTAAATATATAATTTATTTTATAATTACGTAATAAAATCATCATCAATCAATCAATTTAATAGAACGTTCCCAAGATTCGATTCGATATATAAAGAAAATCCCATCGTTAATCCATTGGTTCATCTCTTATTCTCCCTTACGCTGTCGACATTATGACCTAACTATGACTGGGCTTCATAAATACAATACCCACCCATTCCATCATCTCTCTAATTCATAGCCCGAATCACGAACATCGATACGGAGATTACTCATTCTTTCAACCCAAAGCGTTCCCTCCACGCGACCTCAACGAGACACGAACTGCTTTTCTATATAGGCAGCTTAGGCCTGAGCTCAACAACTCAGAGAGAGTTAACTCCATCACTCTTTTGCTTGTCAGATCACAGTGAAATGCAATCATTGCAGGAAAAGGCTGCGGCTTGGAGCGGCGTTGAAGCTGCCGATGCCTTTGCCATCGACGAAACTAATTTGTTCCAGAAATTGGGACTTCAGACTTTCATCAACCTCTCTACCCATTTTTACACTAGGTATCTTCTTCTTCGTATTCAATTTTCTTTTAATTGGGTCTTTTTGGTGATTTTATTGTTCATCTGCGTTGGAAATTAGGGTGTATGATGATGAAGAGGAGTGGTTTCGATCAATATTTGCTAATTCCAAGAAAGAAGAAGCCATTCAGAATCAATACGAGTTCTTTGTGCAACGAATGGGAGGGCCTCCTCTTTATTCCCAGAGGAGAGGTTAGAATTTCCATGTTTAATTTCTTTCTTGTCCTTTTTGCGTGTTTCTATGTGTGTTGTTCTTTATATTTTCAAATCTTCGTGGTGGATTTGGAGATTGTTTTGTTAACACAAGAATTCAAGAATAAAAAATTAAAAGGAGAGAGTTTTGGGTAAGTATTGGAATATGGAATTTCAATTGTTCAACAGTAGAAGAAGTTGAATCCTTTCTTGATTGACGAGGGCCAGACTGAGTCAACATAAATTCTATCATACCCTGGTTTGGCCTTTTCAGGAGATATTTCTAACGAAATGTATGCTTAACCTGTGCTATTCGGTCGGAATCGGGAGTGAGTACCGGATCTCGGGGCCTGACTATATGTTTGGCGTGAGCATGTGCAATATGTTCTAAATTTTGATGTATTGCAAGAATATTTCCCATATTCATGCTCATGCTCGATATGAGTTCAACACGAAAGTCAGATACGACTACTTGGATTGATATAATGCTTAACTGACTTACAAATCAACCTTCATGCAAATTGTAACCTTAAATATTTTGGCACTTACATAGTGTTCTTGATTTTGATACATTCGGGTAAACGAAGGGAAAAAGATGACCATCTATTGTTGGGACTTGAATCATTCCGTTAGTCTTCCTTTTGCAAGTGATAGAAGGATAAATTATCCTCATTAAAGACTCCTTTAGGGCAATAAATCAAGGATAATATAGTTTCAGGCTACTAGAACGAATTCTTTTTGCTATTTGCTAGATGGTAATAAGGCTTCTGTCCACCTATGTTATTGGAATCAATGCAAGTTTTTGGATAGTGAATACTATTAACAATTTATGTTTTGCTGGGTTTGTGTTGGACAATGTGTTGTCCACCTCTGTCTTTTTCTTAACAATTTGTTGGGTTCGTTTTACACTTCTTGGCAGGCCATCCTGCATTAATCGGACGTCATAGACCGTTTCCAGTCACTCATCAAGCCGCAGAGAGATGGTTACATCATATGGAAAAGGCACTGGAGAGCACCCCAGACATTGATGCCGATTCAAAAGTCAAAATGATGAATTTTTTCAGGTAACATAACATTTTAGCTCCTTTCATTCTTGTGCTTCCTTTAAATATGTGCGTGACTGTGGATGCTTGTCATCTTATTATTGTTCAAATTCATGATGACATTATATTGTCTCTTCTTTTTTCTTTTCAGGCACACTGCATATTTTCTTGTGGCTGGAGATGAGTTGAAGAATAAAAAACAAGAACCTTCATGCAAATGCAAACATGGGGGATGCAAATCAGCTGCACCATAAACTTGGTAACAGGAATTCCCCCATTCCTCTGTTGGGAGAAACCATGGATATTACCATCCATTATAAAACTCCTCAGTATGACAGTGTCATAACTAACACAACCTTTTGTATGAATAAAATCCTAAACTTTTTGCAGTATTTATTTCGGATATTGATGAAAATGTTATTGTCATCGTATTTGATCTGGATGATTTGCCCCAAACTTTATAAGCATCAGAATATGTATGAAAATGTTGTTGGATGCTTGGATGTATTACTTTAGATGAGTCTCAAGCTGAATACCTTTTACCGCGTTTCATTATAAATAAATATAGGATTTAGTGTTCGGTGGGTCGAATAACATGCAGGATTCGAATTGAGCAAATTGATTTAGGAACATTATCCTATAAAAGATTTTGTTAATACTCGTATTTAAGTAATTGTTGATTACTTTACTCGATCAACTAATCAAATACTGATTATTAAGATACATATTCATTGTATACCGATGATTATTAAAGATTTATATTCATTATAGATGATTATTAAAGATACATATTCATTATATTTATATTATCGTTGATTACTCGATCAACTAATTAAAAATCAAATATCGAAAGTTATTAAAGATACATATTTGTTATATTTACATAATCGCTGATTACTTGATCAATGATTATTAAAGATATATACCAATTAGTTTAACGATTAATAAGATAGATATTTCGATGGAATCAACCGGAAACTTTGATGCGACCAAAAAAAGACTGTCGGATCCTAGAGCAATTCAAGATGTGGAGATGGTGGCCAATCTGCCAGAGCAGAACAATCCATTATGCCTCGATTCTTTCTGGTAAATTGACTGGGGATCATGTCTCTAGTATGAATCAAGAAGAGGATTTAGTTCTCAACGATGATGACTTTATAACCGGATCTCCCTTGGGGGGGGGGGGGCGGGAGCGCCTACAAACTCATGGAGGCGAGCATGGTGAGAACCGGTGTGCTCAAACTTCTTGGTAACAATATTGGATTGAATACGCTCTCAAATAAAGCCTTCGCTATCTGGAAACCATCCCAATTCTTTACTCTTATGGACCAGGAAAACGGATACCAAATTTCAGAATGAAGACGATTACGAGAAATTTTTGGCTGAAGGATCATGGATCATTCATGGAAGTTACCTAACGGCCAAACCATGGTTAAGAAGCTTTAGCACTTTAGAAGCCTATCCGCCCACCTCATCACGTGGCTTCGATTTCCAGGTTTGCCTGAATACATGTTTAAGAAGAAAGTTCTTACTAACATCGGAAATCTTGTTGGCAGGGTGGTCAAAGTGGATCTGCAGAAAGACAAGTAATAGACAATGGTTCGCGAGAGTGGTCGTTTTCATCGATCTTAAACAATTCCTCATATCCCGAATCATAGTGGGAGACAAGATTCAGAACGTGGTATTCGAGAATCTTCCTCTAATATGCTTCTCATTCGGGAGATTTTGAAAGAAGCATGTACATTCACCAAGCATATCATAGAGAAAAAGCCTGAAGCTAAGACTACCATGGTTAACCCTGAAGCTAATTTTGATGATCAAGCTAGTAATTTTGGGAATAATACGAAAACCAACGTTATGGAAGAAGGAAATCAATCAGAAAAACATCCTTACAGACCCTGGCCTGGATGATGATGGAACGCCGGTGCCGACGAAACCCAATCGGAAGTGGCAACGGCAAAAAACCAATTACTAAGGAAAACAAATTTCATGGGTCCAGATTTATTACCTTAACCGTGGACGAGAATGGGACTGGAAGTCACGACCAGAATCACGAGGTTGACAGCCAAACTGTTGGAAGTATTTCCAAAGTGGGTGAAGGCATAAAATCTGGAATCGAAGATCCTAACAAGGGAGGCAATAACAATCTGAATCTTTCTAGCTTATTCCAAGCCCTAAGTCAAGGAAACAAAGCTCATCCAAAGTGGGACCAGTAAATAAACAGTCAACACCAGTTATTGTACTCACGTACGACCACACCCATGCAGACCAAGCAGGTTCCCTCCTCCATGAACATGCAATCTACGCAGGCCCCTCCTTCCACGTCTATTCCTGTTTACGTCGCCTAGAATACCATTGTTGCCGTGTCTAAAGAACTAAACCCTTCGACTCCAAGGAATACGATGCAGACAACCTCCCAGGTAAATCTAAATGGAGAATTCTTTACCTCAAAAACTAACCTTATTTTTTATAACACGCAAGGGATGGAAAAAAGTCCGACGAGTACTACTCTGAACCCCGAGTCTCATACAACAGTTAGCTTCACCATTCCTACTATTAATGAAGGGAGTAAAACAAATTATCAAGGCTACAACTGGAGGAACCATGCTATGAAAGAAAGAAGAATTCCTCGTGTGATTCGAAATAAGAATATCAAAGTCAAAGCTAGCACGGGGTATAGTGCTATGTCAATGTTAATCCCGTAAAAAGGTATATTTCATGTTTTTTTACTTGAGTTATCAGTTGTCTCAAAGCTCATTTAGTTTCATATAGTTGCATGTAGCCCATTTATTTGCATATGGTGATGTTTGCTTGTTTGATTTTATATATTTGAGAAATTGGTGCTTATTGAGAAAGGTTTGTTTGGTGTGGTGATGTGCAGGTAACTTAATGTGAACTGCTTGGAGATGACGGTTATGTTGCAACATAATAAACAACATTTCTAGGCACACTAGAAAACAAAAAAAAGAAGATATTTTCAGCAGCACACATGTGACACCCTGCCAACTGTTCCCCACGCATGAATTGAATATTCTCTTAGAGAATCACAAAGAATTAGGGCACAAAGCCCTAGGAGCCCCCACTATATAAAGCTTAGGACACCATATTTATGAGGGGAATAGAAAGTGTGAGATAAGAAAGAGAAAAGTTATAGGCAACCACTCTTCCTTCTTTATTTCATCGTGGCAATCTCCATTGTTGGATCTTCAAGTGGATAAAGCTTGCTGGCCTTTGAAAGAAGCATCAGTGCTTGGGGTAGCTCACAACAGCTCACGGCTTGGGAGTCTTCTCCTTCTTCTTTTTTTGCTTGTTATTTCCTTCATATTTTTTCTGAAATAAGTTGTATTAAACGAATGATTATAGATGTTTTCACCTAACCATGAAAAACTTAAGTTGGTTTGGGTTTATTTTGGATGAATATGTTTTGCTTTAATGAATGTTGCAGCATTTCCATCTTACATACATGCTTTGTTCATGATTTTATTACTTAGATTTGTAAGAGTTGTCGAAAGATATCCTTTATCTTTGTTTGATGTTTAATACCAAGAGAGTTAGGCTTATATCTACGTGTACAATGGGGTGAAGCTGGGTAGTAAAACTCTAACTCGCCTTAGAGATAAGGAAAGAGTTTCAACGACCAAAAGCAGTAGAGCTTAATCGATAGTGTCTTGCTAGGTTTCATGTTGAGAGGTATCACTTTAGCATTATCACTGTTAGGTTTCTTACTAGAGATAGTTTAGAAACAACTTAGAAAATTTTATCGAGCATAAATTGATACCTAGTCGTTTAGCCTTATTGAGAGTTTCATACGAATGAGGTCTGATCGATGTCTTATCTTGTATACAATTTCTCAACACACAATTTTGTTATAGTATTTCTTACTTTACCTGTTTGTTACAACAATTCACTTACCTCAACATTTGCCACAACATTCATAGACATAACATTTTACTCAGAAAGACACCTATTCGCGAAAAGACACAAATTTTGAAAAAATGACTTTGTGTAGAAATCATGTCCTTTGATGGAGGTTTGCATCTGTTATGTTCCCCAACTGATTTGAGTTAACTAACTTAAATCCTCAACTCAATCTAACTATGAGCTCAAGTGCATATGACAACTTTTCCTTTGACTGTGAGCTTCCATAGAGTTGTCCTAGATTGATTCCACTAGCTTTGAGCTTTACCTTGTAATTTAATTCAGCTTTCCTTCTCATCGTCAAATGTACCTATACATAAAGCACAAAGGTAAGTTAAGTAAATGATATAATAAAGCTTATAACATATAATGCATGCCTAAGTATGGATGAAATGCGATCATAAAATATAAGAATGACATGTATAACCTAAAGTAATGGTTGCATATTAAACATATAATAAACTCATCATCTGCTTAACATAATCATGTGGACTATAGGTTATATGTATGACTATCATAAAATATGATATTCATAAATGATGAATGGGAACATGTAATAATAATATCCTAAGAAATTATATGAATTTATGGCATATATATGAATAATATGAAAGGCATGATAACATATATTAACATGTGATTGCATGCTCATGATAGAATAAGATGTATAAATAAGATAATATAAGATAAGGTAAGGAAGAGATCCCTTAGATTTAGCTTGAGAGATCTTCAATGATGTGAGCAAGTGATGGAGAAAATTGGTGTTAGACTGGATTACATCGGAGACTCTTGCTGAACAGCTAAACTGTACATTAGAAGAAGCTAAAGAAAAAACTAAAAGCTTCAAAAGTTCTTTTCCCAGTGTTGCTTGCTGGCTTCGTGAAGCTGTTTCGTCTTGTCGTCAATTGCCGTAAGGAAGTTCTGAATTATTTCTGCTGAGACTAGACGGTGGTCAATGAATCTGTTTTGTATGAGATAGCCTTTCAACCAACATTGTCTCATATTATATTCCTTCTCTTAATTCATCATTAGTTACATATGAAAATGCTGCAACATTTACTTATGACAACTTAGAAAGGGGAAAATGAAAGGAAACAAGTATAAAGCAATCATTTTTATTGATCGTCTAACTACATTCTCCAATGAATATGTTCCTTATTTTCCCCCTAAAATTTATCTTCTCTTTCTTTTTTGTTCGTTATTGCTCCATATTAGGGCATATGTTTTGTAAACCTCTAATTTATGCTTCAAATGATTTATTTCTGGTTAGTGTTTCATGTCTGGCGTATTTTTCGCTGGCTCTAAAATCTTAATGTTGCACCATGCTCAAACTTTTTATTTGTTTCCCCCCTTTTGTGTAATCCAGATATATAGAAACCCTCAAGGGAAGAAAATGCTTCTTATCGAAGATAAAAGTTGGAACCAGCGAAGAAATCAAAAGATCAGAGGTAAGCTGTGAATTCGATTTGTC